AAAACGTGTGATTTCTGTATCAAAATACCAGGTCAGATAGCGCCAGATTTGCTTTTGGCACACTAACAACATGTAAATCAGGAGGAAACAAATGGCATACTGGCCTGTTTTTGTTGAAGCAGCATATTTTGCATACTTATACATGGCTAATATCCATATTGATTTCCCAGCGGTTCATCACAAGCAAAGACGCCACAAAGCAAAATGAGACGTGCAGATAGATGGCAGGAAGCACTCTACACTAAAAACAAAGGTCACAGACGAGAATCAAGATATCTAAGAAGGGAAATGAAGAAATGGTGCAAGAAAGTCTAAGAAAATATCTAGGCTGCATCAGAAATTACTGATGCAATTCTCTCATTTCAACCCCGTCAATGGAATGGTCTGCCAATCGACAGGCCAGCCCGTAACCACAGACCGGCTCGAGCCAAGAGCAGTGTGGAAGCAAGCCAGAACCTGACAGAAGCAGGAACCACAGTATCAATCATTTTAGAGGCTCATCTCTTCATGGTAAGCAGCACCTCAAAGTGGTTACAAAATCACGTTAATGCAGGGCGAAGCAAAGAAAGCAGAAGCATTCAAGTTTCTAAGTTTAAAAATTATGCAAAGCTCACAGGACTCGGTTCACAGCGCTGAACGTTTTGAACTGCTTATAAAAACTGAAAAGGGGGTAAGAATATCAAAGAGCAATAAAGACCCAACACTCCAACAGCATGCAGAAAAAGTAACTCTTAGCCTTTATAGAAGCATAGAATGGTAAATGTGCATTTGAAATTCTCATGCTTTTACATAATCTCACCATGCATTTAGGTTTTGCTTTGCTATGGTTTAGCAGTTTTTTTTTAACCCCGCTAGTGCTGCCTTGCTATGCTTCACCAGTGCTCCTACTGGTGAAATGTCACTGCACTTGACTGCACTTGCACAATGGTACACTACATCACTTCGTATTTGGGTGGTCCCCAGTGACATCCCAAGTTAAGGACCACAGGTATCCTTCAGGGCATATCAGCAGTATCATTATCCACTAGCACAGCTGCAACCAGGAGAATGGAAGAGGCCTTGTGTGCCTATTAGCACAGGTTGCCCGTGAAGCAGCAAAGCTGGCATCTCTAGCAGAGCAAGTCTCTAAAGTCTCCACTGTTATAAATACACTTTCCTCGAACGCTGCTCGTGAACTGCTTTAAGTGTCTTTCCAACAAGTCTCTTTACACTACACCCTTTGTTGACAAATCAGCAGCTTTGCAGCGGTTCTGCAGCACAGGTTTTGTGCTTCTTGTTTTAGGAAGTCCTGGCACGTGTTAAAAAAACACAACAGCAAAAAAACTGGGACGTGAACTTCTATAATCAAACAAGAACCAGCTGCTTTTGAAATCCCCGGCTGTCACCTCAGCATGTATGAGCCGTGTAAGACGTGCAAAATTCGAGTCAGAACTATTAACATTCTTCAGTTTATAGGGTTTGAAATGTGACAAGTAAACACAACCTTTTCCCCTGTAAATAAGTCTCTATATCACCGTTTCCAAGTTTCTTTTAAATTTACCATTGGCAGATGCACATTTTTTCCCAATGACAGAAGAGCCTACATACATCACAGAACATTTTGAATAAACTTGGCTGGAAAATGGGGTCAAAGTGATTTCTCTTATCGCATATGACAGTTGCCATAATGCTGATGAAATCTGATCAGCAACCGCCCCTGTTGGAATGCTCTCTACTGGAATCTGTATCAGCTGAGCTTTAACAGATTGTTGCTTAAAAAGCCAGCTTATAATAAAGCTTAGAAAACCCTTTTAAGCCTGGGAATGAGGTTAGCAGACTTCTGCGATATGTAGTACCTGCTAACGGTCTCTCACCTCTCAGGCATGGCACCGAGATAAAAAAAAAAGCACCGACGCAATTTAATTCAGTGGGAAAAACGGGGTTGGTTGTAGTTGTTGATTCTGAACCCCGAACTAAAACAAAAACTAAAAACGCATGCGACCATCTGGTAATTAACAGACTTGTGTCCATTTTAAGGGATACCTGTTGGGAGTCACATTTTAAAGGAAGAATGTGTAATTGAGTGTTTAAAAAGAGGAAATGGCTAGTAAAACTCCATTAGCTTTGTGTCCTAGTTCTAGAAACACGTTTTCATGATCTAACCTGCCCGTGCAAGTCTAAGTTTGTGTCCCGCAATCAGCACTTTTTCAATTCTGTGTGCTGTAATGCCATTCGGCTGCGTACAGAAGAGTGCCATGCATTCACACCATGATGTAACATGCGTGATGTATGATGAATGATGCGTGCTGTAAACCTGTTTGCTCACTCTCCCCCAGGACACACCTTTAAATACAGTGGCAGATCTCTGGAGACGATTCCACCGAGAAAACCCCACTGACTCAGCAGTGAAAACGCGCTGCACGGAGTAGCCAACCGCAGCACTGGGCCGATTCAAGACCTGCACAGCAGGTGGACCAGGGGAAACCCTTCTTCCCAACCTTTGCGTTTGGCAGCTTTAAAAAACAGATGTATAATCCTGCAGCCAAAAAGTTTGTTGTATATAAAACTGGAAATACATCTTAAGCATAGCGGTAACAAAATGAAGTTATGGTCAATCTGTCCTTAATAAAGATGTAAAGCATGCGCAGATGTATTCTGCACAATTTTAAAAGATGGCTAAATGATTCAAAAGCCTTTTCCTTTTCAAACAAACACCGGAAATTCAATGTTTTGGGTCCCATTAACACCTCATTAAACTTTATTGCACGTTTTCGGTGATTAGGACATGAAAATGAAGCTTAACTTCAACTTGTATGACCCTGGGAGGTCAGAGGCAGCATCAGCATACAGTATTCTCTCATCATAAAGTGCCATCAGACCGGCAATTCTGATCCTGCTTCTTGGTCTAGCGGGAGCCAGGCCTGAGGCTGCTCTGGACTGACCACTCAGACAGCGGGTGGGATGGGCCACACAGCTCCCACTAGCTTGTAACCTTCAGGTTTTCAAGACTACAAGCCTCAAAATGTACTGGTCTCTAGAACAGGGCAGGGCGCAAAGTATCACTGGTGGCAAAGGCCCTTGCTCAACTGACAGCACTACATAGGCTCATACAGTCCCTGCTACTGTGCCAGCGTTATAGAAAGTCTCCCACAGACCTTGTTACAGTCAATTTTTAAGGCATTTTTCGTCTGTCACTAAATGATTTTTGCCTGTGAAGCAGCACAACAGTGAAAACACAGTCTCTCAGCGTTAGCCTTCACACCCATTCAATTTCTTGTCCTGTGAGAAAATGACTCATCATAAGAAATTGTTACTGTTCTTTTCACAGTGAACATCTATGCAATGTCAAAAAAAAAACACAAAAGGAGTGACTGAAACGTAATACTGTGCTAAGGTGTTAGCAATTTCTTCCCTGTCAGAACCATGCCAAATCAAGAGCATTCCAAGGTCTAAAGTCTAAAACAGTGACGTGTTCAGGGAATGAAAGCTCACTTCAAATATTAGGCAGACAAAATTCATCCCGGACAACGCTAACAAGAACAGGATTTCCAGTGATGTACAGCTTAGGCCTGACAGCAAGGCCTGCAACAGCCTTTAAATGACAATCACTGCTTACACACTGGAAGAATAAATCACATTTAGGAAGTAAAAAATAGTTCAGAAACAGTACAGTGCCTTCTTATGAACGACTTGAAGTCATGTTTGATTAGGTGATCCTGAGTCCGTTTTGAATTAATGCAAAGTGAAGGTGGATTTCACCCTGTCTCTCCGCCTCAAAGAACAGAACTAGTGGTTATCAGGCCATGCTTCCACTGCTTGGCCAGGTTCTAGACCACCGATGGTTAAAATCCTAAACTTATTAAAAACAGCAATGTGTATTGCTGGCCTCGTGTAGAACAAGCTGAAAAACGTCTCCCAGATTTCACCTCTTTCCATTTCTCCCTTACAGAGCTCCACACCATATCCCTCACCCTGGCTTCTGCTTACAGAGCTATAAACAGCACCAGCCTGGGTCACAACCCTTTAAAAAAACAATATGTGGGTTTTCCAACAATACATTACAAATGCACAATTCTGGCTAGGTCATTCAACAACAGGGCTTAAGACAGCAGCCCTTAGTTCTCCTTTACCTCAGTCTCAGCTCCCTGTCACGCGCACAGACAGTAAATCCTGCATACAAGATAGGTGACCTCTTAGTAATAAATTTGCAAAATAAAATGGCAAGGGTTGAGGGGCACTGAAAATTCAGTAATTTATAAATTAGAAAACAGGATTGGTCCCCAAGCCAGAAAAATAATTTCTCTCAATAAGTCTACTTTTGAAGGACATACCTACACAGTGATAACTTGCTACAGAGCAACCATCAATGAAAACAAGGACTTCTGCAGCCTGCATGGTGGATTACAATGTAGCGTATCAGTAGCCAACTTTCTGTTTTGTGCAAAAATAATATTCACAAAATGATCAGCTACAGCTGATTACACCCTTGTAATTTCAGAATTTGTTAAACACGACCACCTACAGTTCTGTACCACCTACAGTTGCTGCATGACAACTACAAATATTCCAGTTTACAGAACACTGCTGTCCATGTCTGCCGCAAGCTAAAATGTCAACGTGCGTAGCATGGCTAGAGCTGGAATTTAAAACAAGAAGGCCGATGTAATTTTAACGACCCCTGCGCCGCGTGGATCAAGCGGATATTAAACTGTGAACTCCTCACAGCCAGGCCTTAGTCTGGAAAAGATATCTCCTAAATCCCGTCTCCTCCACATCAAAGCAAGACTGACACCGAAAACAAACGTGCAGTCTTAGTTCAGACGGCATTAACAACAACAACAAAAACTCAGAAGGACAAAGCGAAAAGGCAGCTAACCTTAATCCCCCAGATGAAATCACAACTTTAAAGACCAGTGATGAACTCAGTGGCTTGTTTGTTGGCGGGAGAGATCAGAGTGGGTGAGGGCCCCGATCTGATCACCGTGTCTCCCGCGGGTGAAGTGCCCGTCCGGCAGCCTTACCTCTTGTTGATGGGCTTCTCGTCCTTCTCGTAGGGCTTGACGAACCACTTGCCGATGCGCACGAAGCTGCGGTTCATCAGGCAGCGCTCCAGCAGGTTGTGGATGGCCTTGAAGAGCAGCGTGCGGCACTCGTAGGACAGCCCGCTCTCCCACGCCCCTTCCTCCTCCCCTGCAAGAGACACAGGCTGTATATCACCGTGGCAGGACAGGCAGGCTGGGCGCATCTCAACTGGGCTCCCCAGGAGGCGCTTGGCTTGGCACAGGGAGCACGTATTTCCCAATAACACCGGCAGGTACTGAGAATGTTTCTCTCACTCTGCAGGAGAGGCAAGTCCGTTCATTTCTTCCCAGGAATTCCTCAGCACCAATCCTCTGCACCTATCCTTAAGCATTACACTTCATTCACTACAGCCATAAAATAACACTCCAGTAATTTAGCAGCCAATTATCTATGACAACCCACTGAAAAGGTGTGGAAACAGTGCCGATACAATTTCTATGTGGAAGTCTGGGCCAAGTGCCTTTGAAATTAATGTATACATGTTGCTCACGTGTGAAAATACAGCAAAGTGTGTCCAAAGGGCTACAATACAAAAACATTTCTATTAAAGGTCAGAACCTTGCACTGAAGTGAACAGTATCAGGGCAGGAACCCACCGATATTTTTCATTGTTCACGAAATTCCTACAAGAGCAAACAGCATCGTAACCCCTTCGATCTGCACATTAAACAAAAGCAACACTGCCATCAGTTTCAACCACTCACACAGACCAAGTCTGTCCTACACAAATGTTAATGAGCTCTCTTTGCTCAAACCATAAAATCTGCATATCAAACGAGCTTGGGTCCTCTAAGTCAATGTGTTTCTACAGCCTCCGAAACTTTTCTTTCTCCGGACAGAAACTGCGGAGGGGCTGCAGCGCGGGCCAGCTGTTTCGACTCGGGCTCCCAGCGCTATTAACAGCCACGTTCGAGAAGCTCGGGGCTGTGAAACCCTGTAAACAGGCACAAATGAGAGAGCACGCCCTGTGGGAGGTCAGCCCTGTAATCTGGGAAGCTCAACGGCTGCCACAAAGACAGCAGCGCAGCTCAAGAAATATTAACCAGGGAACGGAGCACTTGGACTTTCCAGCATCAAATTAAAAGGCAACCCATTCCAACCACAATCCGCCCTTTTGTTTTGATTCAAAGCCAAAAACAGATTTATTTGCTTGATTTGAACTGATCATTAATATTTAGAGTAATAAGATAGAGCTGCATGTAGTACAGGAAGCTTTTTATAGCCTGTTATACTATCCTCTGTTGTGATAATAGAATCAGTCCCTATTTTGATCATTTGGGTAGACTGCTAAATCTGCTCATGTGCTTCAACAGTCCTTTTTCCCCCATCAGTGTAATAACACTTCTTAAATGTGGTGTGAAAAACATTTCTGACCAGATGTGGTATGCTTTAGCGAGGCCAAAGAATAACAGTTTACCAGAGCAGGAATGGAAAAACGTACTGTACATTACAGAATAGAGAGAAAAAAAACTAAAACTTTAAGCACATGTGCTTTTCCTCTTAGCAAATTCTTCTATATTTAAAAGGCAATAATAGGGTCACTGTGCAAAGCCGTAATCACAGATCGCAACACTGATGCCATGTCACTGCAACACATAGCACAACAACTCCTGCATGTTTCAGAGACTATGAAATCATTGTTTTCAAGCTACCTGTATTTCTCATCTCTCGTGGGTAGGAATAAACTACCATTACAGAACCAAAAGGTTCAGAATTTATACCCTGGAGGGAGAGGCAGACAATTCCTAAACCTTGTTCGGCAATCTACATCTGTGCACCTAGCACAACGCCTGGCAAATCCACTAATCCCTGGACAATGACAGCCTAATTAGAAACCCGTCGATCATCATGCTTTTAGAAAAGAAGGAAAATATTTTTTCTAGATTTCAGTTATTTCACTACTAAATATTGAAGTCAGATTTTAGTTCTGGACGATACACATCCTGTAATCTTCCTAATTGGATAGGTACTTAGACAAAGCCATCATCATGCCACAAGTACACCTGAAGAAACACTGGTATAAGGGGTGGTGGTGTTTCTGCTGCAGCCTTACTGCTGCCTGTTATAACACAATAGCAGTCTCTGAACTGAAAGAACAGAAATAATGACATCTTCTAAGCTGATCGACAGCCAGGTGACTTCACCTACTAAGTTGTTTTGAAGCAAAAGAAGGATCCACTGAAAAGGAAATGTTGAGATCTAGGGTCAGGAGGAGAGAAAGCAAAACATGGACCCCTTGTCACTCAAAAACATTAGCTGCCCTGGCAGGAAACTCCATGGTGGGCTCGATTTCAACAAGAATTCATCATTAAGATTCCCCAGTGAAGTAATAAAATAGTTAAGAAAACAGGCTTGTAGTTACACAACAATTTTGTTTTTTTTCAGGCTGAAGCACAGGATCAAAAGGAACATAGGGTGGAGGACAGCAGTGAAGGATTATTTAACATTGTTTTGGTGAGACCAGAGTTTTAAGAGGGTTTAAAAAAAAATGACAGGAAAGTTTAAGATTTTGCATAAACAGCCATCAAGATGACCACGTCTGTTTTGTAGCCCACTTGCTCTTTTTTTTTAAATTCACGTCTGTTTTGCATCAAAAGCTCCTAACGACCTTGTGCCAGAGATGCTGTAGCTTCAAACGTGGAAACAGTTCTTTAGCCAGCTGCTCCACACCTAGGGCTTCACGCCCCATAACTCTGAAGCCATGTTAACACAAGGCAGCAGTTGGGTTTTTGTAAGCAACGAAAATGACTTGAGCAATGCGCTGCGGGTTTGCCCAGAATTTCTTGTCCCTTGCCTAGAGCCGAAAAGGAAGACTGTCTGATTAATGGTGGGGATTCTCGTTTCGTCTGCGCTGGAGACGGGAGGATGCAGTCTCGGGCCCTGATCGCTGAAGACAGATGTGTTAATCAGTTGTAGACGTCTGTTAAAGCAGACCTGGGCAGCTACTGCTGATACCACACTGCATTTTAATCTGGAGCTCAACGGTGATGCTAAGTAAACAAGATGGATTTTTTTTTCCTCTCTCTCTCTAGTACTTGAAGGTGGCTTTTGCTTAATTCACATTAAAAAAAAAACAACATAACAGATGATGCACAAGAGAGCATCAAATACTATAGGACAGCATGTTGCAGTGATAAAAAGGGAAAAATGACTTTTTGCATGTGATTTTCAAATATCCATATCTGTAACCAGCAATTGGTTTTGGCATATGACCCAAAAATAAACACCTTCAGACTAGGAAGACTGTCAATAAAAGGCAACAATCAAATGTCATTATTGCTTTTGAACTACAAGACTGCCTGGAGTGAAAACAAGACATTGAAATGCTAAATGTAATTCTTTCAGCTCATCACTGTGTGCAAATTTCATTTCACTACAGAGAACCGGGTTCACTACTGTGCTGTGTGTACTACTACTGTGCTGTTGCCTCCCCAAGTAGACAGAATGCTTACAGATCAAATGGGGAACTGTATGAAACTGCCACCTAGATCTTAAACCAGAAGGGATTCAGAAGTCCAGCTGACCGCTGCGACACATTTCCACACGCCCTCCGATTGGCAAGACCAACGCACTGACCTTCAGAGGGCTCTTGTGAAGAACAGGGGAACGAGATTTCCCATTACGAGAGGAACGGCGGATGGTTATAAACACTGAGGTGCCTCAGGCTCCGATTGCCTGGAATGGCTCGGAAATGGGAGTGTAATGCCACAGCTATGCTCCATGTCGGGACGGCTGCTCCCCACCGCCACAATGCTCCTTAGCACCGCTGGAGTGGATGGCGCAAGCTCATCCGAATCACAGGTGAGGAAAGGAGAGTGGGAGAAACCAGCCAGCCAGCCAAAGGTTTCTATCCAACATGTAATTACTGCTGTAGCCGGTCATTACACTGCGGGATTAATGCGTTGTGATCAGTGCAGTGTCTGGGGGACTCCAGGGGATACTTCCAGCCAAGGTAATAAAGCCAGGCCCAACACAGCTTTCTCTTCTCCACAAGCCGCGGCGATGGCGTTTCACAAGGCTCCATTCTTAATTAGCGAATCTTTCCTGACCGAAGCACGTCGTGGGGCGAGCGTTCACGCCTGGGCGCGCCACGGAGAGAACAGGCAGCCGAGATTAATCCGAGGAGCTTCAGCACAGCGCCAGCGAGAAATAAATTAGGTTAATGCTTCAAATGGATCCCGTTCTCATTTCATAAACAACAGGAAACCAATCCCCAATTGACCAGCCCCATTTAAAAAAAAAAAAAATTAAAGCATTTTAAAGCCAATTTCGACACAAATTAAAACAATGCCAGAAGGGCATTTCGCTTTAACCGGGAGAGGCTGCAAGACCAAACATTTCAATAAGGAAAAGATGTCTGTTGGTATAAACCACTCGGATTAAGGTGGTTTAGCCTTTGCAGAACCCAAAATTTGAAAATTCCTCAGAAAAAGTGAAAATGGAGAAATGCTGGTCTGGGTTTCAGTGCAGATATGCTCTCCGAGCAGAGGTATGACATTTAAATCACTTTAAATTAAAACTCACACGAGCTGTAATCCCTAGCACGTAACCTTTTGTTTAACTTCAGAAGATTTGATGAAAATTCTGCACAGCTCTAATTTAAATCACACAGTTCCAAATGAATTTCTTTGAAATAACTTCAGAAATAGAAACATGATTAAAAGGTGTTCAGATCTGACATTTCCACGCAGTTTTTTTTCCCCAGGAGCGACACACAGGAAAAATGTATAATTTCCAAAGTGAGATAAAAGAAAAATCAAGAGATTGTCTTAATCCTTCTTAAATGGGGCGATAATCAGTGCCCTTCATTGGAAAAGTTGTCCCAAGCAATACAAAGTTGGGAGGAGCTAGGGACCAGGGTTCTCTCTAGAATGTGAACACAGCTTCCAAGTCCACAGATTTTTACAACATGGACAAACAGACTGAGGAAAAACTCCAGAGCTCCCCTCATCCCTGCGAAAAACTACTCTTGACAAGGATAGCTCAAGACAGGCACAACAGGTGCCCCTCGAACAAGCAAGCTACTGTGAGCTCCTCAAAAGGAAATTCGAAACAAATGGGTGTAAGAGGCCACTTCCTGTTTGCTAAATATTTTTAACTGCATGCTGGAGATCAGAACAGTCACCAAGATCCAACAGCTAGGAAGCCAGGAAGGCAGGAATCTGGGAATTCTGAGCATTCCATACACATGTAATCTCCGAAAGAAATGAAATCATGCCGAATGGTATTTGCAGTGAAAGAATAGACCTCGTCTGTAATCAACCATGAGCAGGACTTATCTGCGTCAATGAAGACGGAGGTGTCTGGCCTTTGGATTTTCTTTACAAAAAGAAAGATCTGAAGCAACACTCTTCGCACAAGATGGGACTGTGAGCCTGCAGCCATTTGTGTGATCGCTTGCCTAGAAGGAATTCCGATCTCCCAAACACAAGGCTCTTATTTTCCAGGGGCCGATTGCAATTGTGGGTTTAACTCGTGAAAATGAAGGACTGCATAAGCAATACAAAGAGCAGTGTGACGATTCCTGCCGGGGCTCTCTGCTATGACCACAACCACAAAACTGCCTAGGAAAGCAGGATCTTTCAGATATTCTGTGCTCCTGGCTTGATTTCTATAAATAGCTGAAATTAACAAGAAACAACCAAACCAGATTAAAACGGGACAAATCAAACCCCCCCAGTAAATACGCGAACTGATGGCCAATTACATTTTGCTCCTCGCAGGTAATTTAAAATGTGTTACAAAAATGAACGTGTAACCTAAGCAAAAGGAGTTAAATCTACTGCTTTATGCAGCACGCACATTCTGAATGTATTTTAGAGGCTCACCAAAAACTTTAATTTGATCAGATTACTCAGAGCCCCTTGGAAGAAATAACGGAAGCTTACAAAATTTCTGGGTAGTGCTAAATGGGAGTTAAACAGCAACTAACTGCCCGAACAGTTTAAAAAAAAACAACAAAGATTTTGTAGACGTATCTACCCTTGTCATAAATTCTCACTTATGATCTAAACAGATGAGACCCCCACAACATGTGTAGCCTCACTTAACAAAACACAACATGTGTAGCCTTCTATCTGAACACAGTGCTTAACCTGACTTCCGAGCAAAGCAGGGCTGTTCCAAACGTGGCTCGTGACTTCACACGATGCACACTTCACAAGACTTCACCTTAATAGCATGCATCAAAACGCATGAAGTCACATCGCTCCTGCCAGGCTTTGCGGCTGTTCTGCAAACAAACAGGTTGCCTCATTAAAGCCCACAGGAGACCAGACTTACCGCGATCTCGCCAAGTTCAGCTCCAAGATCTCAACAACGCATAGGGAGGCGGAAAAGAACCGCAGAGCAATTACCCTCAAAGACAGACTTCCATCCCTAATTTCTATGCAAAGATCAGTAGTGCTTTGAGCAAAACACACTCATTTATCAGCACTCTGGATGCCGCTGGATAGGGAACACACCACAGCTTTGGGTCATTTGCATGAGAATGAAACCCACAATCTACCAAGGGGTACCGTTTAATTTAGCAATCGCATTTGCCTGCTCTGAATAACACTGATTGGCTAGGGGAAGATTAAAATTGGTTTTTAGAGTGTTCAGTTAAGAACAGAGAAAGTCCCCAACACTGGATAACAAAAATATCCCCCCCCCGCCCCACTCTGAAAACAGGCCCCGAGTGCTGAATAAGAATGAGGTGTTTAAGATCCCTGAAGTCTCTCACTTCTTCCTTCCCCTCCAGAGTAAAGGGATTAGTCCGAGCTTGGTCTGCAGAAATGGCACTCGCTGAAAATTAAAGAGTTTTGCCAGGCCCCTATTCTGACATGTTTACTGCTATGCACAAACAATGCAATGCCCCATTTCTAATTTGCCACAAACATTGGGACAAAACAAGGTGTTTCACATTCTCATTTTCTCTACTTAGCTGTTGACAACGTGAATGTATCCACTCAATATTTATCAATTCCAAGGTGTAACTAATTACAAGCTTCAGTGCTTGTACAGTATTAAAAAGTCTAGCTCTATGCATGGGACCAGCAACTGAAGGTTTGAAAAGACTGCGGTCAACTTGCCCTTAAAATACATAAATATTACTCCTTCTTAACAGGACTCAAAACATTTGACAAGAAAAAAAGTTTTTTATTTCTTGTGATATACACATCAACAAAGCAAGGAAGCCGTCTGATGAGACTGAATTACTGTCTGGCGGACAGACGTAAACCATCTCACAAACCTCTAAAGTTCATCAACAATCTGAAAAAGGTACAGAGGACCATGCGATTTGCTCAGATTTACAGAAGCACCTCTGCTCTCTAATCACGTTTGCCAAAGGATCAGTCATATTTCAGCACAGCAGCAAAATATCAAACAGGCCCAGCTTGGCAACGCAACTTGAGCCCCACTTTCAGGGATAAACCGGAATGTTTTGCGGCACCTCGGATGCCAACACCAGTGACCAGACATGTGCTTATCAAAATCCCTTTAGAGGAAATGGGGTCATAAGACAGCAACTGCAAACTGAAGTACCCTACAGTACACTACAGCTTGTAGTGTTTCCAGTGGTGGCCACACACACTACTTAATCTCCTATTGATGATAAATGTGGATAAACAATGAACATTACCTACTTAACCTCTGTGCAATAAGCAATCAGCACGCTATTATCAGCAAACTAGGCAAGAAACAAAGCAGTTTCACTTAGAAAAACTCAAATCAACATCATATATGGATTTTAATTCATAAATAATGCGTGGTCGGTATTTTTAAGGAATGGATCTAATGCGTACAAGGTCTCCTTAAAAGAGTAGCAAACCCGAATAGTTTACAACCGAATAGTGCTAGTATCCAAAGTCGAGACCAGACAGCTCATGAAGAGCTGGTGATTTTTTTCCTGGAAGCACCTCCCACTCAAACACACCCTTGCACTGAGACCTGGGCCTCTGCCAAGAGAGAAAGCCCAACTGTGCCAAATCAGGAAATTCACGCTTGTATCTCTACATCTACTGGTGTCGTCAGGTGAAACTTGTAACACGAACCAGATTCACAAACCCATCCCATCTCTGGGGCATGAAAAATGACATTGGTGGCCCTTTAGGTTAAAATGAATAGGGAATGACAGCTTCAATTTTCAGTTTATACTAGGAATAAAAAAAGACCCAGTACTCCCTGGAGCTTATGCTGCAAAAATAAAACAATACTCATCGAAACGCTCATCTGAAGATACTGCACTGACAGAAAACAGAGCACCGTATACACTGCAGGAGGAACTCGGTGTAAAGAAAGCATTTCCATGGACACCTCTTCATGCCCAAACAAGAGCCCGGCGACCGCAGAACGCATCAGGCAATGTGAACTAAAGACTATTCAGCACCTCCAATGGTAGGAGGCAGAGCTGCACCATTTTATACTTTAACAGACTCATCTGAGACGCCGGTGTCCTTGCAAAACTCATCTTTTTGCAAATTTCATTGGCAAAATAAACTACCCGTTTTGGATATTTCACGCTTGAGACAATCATCCTTTGGGTCATTACTCCACAGCCGCACAGATAAATCATGACAGATCTTGTGCTCTGAACTTTCATTTTCTGGCCACTTCCTGTAAAATGCACAATAATAGAGGAGTGCTGTCTATGGAGCAGTGCATGAGAGTGCATGCATAAAGACGGGAAATGGAAATGGGAAGACTCCTATTTCATACTTCCAGATATTCTGGTTTCATTTTTTTCTTACTCCAATATAAGTTAAATAAGCGCCGAAGACTTTGCTAGCTTGATTCATAAGTGGATACACACGGCACTATAACCTCTGGGTGGGCTCCTTCCAAGTAAGTGGGTGGGAGTCACACTGACATCCTGATTAGAATAATTGGAAATACACTGAGAAATCATACCTGCTAAGGCCAGCAGGAGCCCAGGAGTATTTAGAACTGAAGAGGGGATTGGTGAAGCAAGGGATTAAACTACCATACGGCCTGCAGATTAGTAAAAACATTCATGTTTCACTTTTAACATCGGCCTGCATGGGGGGTTTTCAGGAGCTGAATTTCAGATAGATCTACCAACACTGAAACCAGCAGTGATTATGAAAATGTTTACAGTGAGATTAGTAAAACAGCTGCCTGAATTGTTTATGAAACTCTCATGCTCGTGGAGAGCATTCTATTAGAAGTTTCTTTTAGAATTAATGTTTTAATGTATTCGCAAGCAGTCCTGATAATTAAAAAGACAATGGATGTTTGCATTGCACATAACTGCCCATTTGAAGGTACAGTACATAATCTCCGATACCGTGCAGTATTTGAAAATGCCGTATAAGTTCAAATGCAGACTAAACCTGTAGGCTGCTTTACTTTTCTGGTTTCATTAACCTTTATGCAAAAACAGGTGGTAGAGTATTTGGAAAACCCCAGAAAATCCTTTACTAGCTGCAAATTAATTTTAAGTTGTATATTAAGGTTTCCAGGTGTAAACAAGAAATGTGTAGATTCGCAGCAGTGCAGTTATTTTTAAGGACTATGTTTGAGATGTAAGCTAATCTGGTCATTCTCACTGTGAGCAGAGATCTCGTCAGTGAAACAGAAGCTGAAAAATACTTTTAAATCATAGCTCAGGTCCAGACATCTGAAATTATAGGTATGAATGTATGTGTACAACAACATCCACTCCTTTGAGCGACATCTTTTTAAGGACCTGACCCACCATCATCCCTCGAAGCCCCAGAAAACTTGCTTCCTCCAGGGACAAGTCTGCTGCCACACCCCCTGCATGACAGAAGCCCCCAGTGGAGCACATCAGGGGCCTTAACGTCTCGCGATGTTTTTAAACCTTGCCTTAAAAACACCTGTTCCCAATGTCTACTTTGCGTCAATTAACAGTTGAAAGAGAAACAGATTAACATTCTCCGTTTTATCAAATCTGATTGTATATTCTGTCTACTGTACTGTTTCCTTACTGGAGAATTTAAGTGCCTTCAGAACGCTGTGCTGTAAGGTGCTACAGAAGGATAAAACTCAAGCGGAAGCCGACCCGTCCCGGAGAAGTCGCCCGCGCTCACCTGTCAGCTCGTGGTGGATGAGCTCGGCGAAGTTGGGGTCCTCCCCCCACCAGAAGAGCCAGAGCTCCCGGCGCCCCGCGGTCTGGTGCCGCCGCCACACGCTCAGCACGTCGGCCTTCAGGCAGCGGCTAAAGCTGCAGAGGATGGGGTCCTCCTCCGTCACGGGGAAGAGGATGGGCGCCGAGGTGGGGCCCTGCCACACGTACTTCTTCCATTTGATTCCAGTCAGGTCAGCCTGCGAGACAAGGGGAGGGACAGTGGTCAGGTCTGCAGCTCGTGGGTTTTTTTGGCCATTTATCTCGGCTCTTTCAGCGCTGAAGCAGTGAAGATTAACGTTTAAGGCCTGTACGGACAAACCAGCACAACCTCCCTAACTTTTTACTTCCGCTCTGCGAACTCTCTCTTACTAATGCGCTCTTACGCCAAAACACAAAACCAAAACACGACCAGCACTGCGTTAACAGCTGCTTTTCCAAGCAGCTCACTTGGAGAGCTTGGAAGAGGAAAACCCAAAGAAACGCACAGCAACGTAAAAAAAAAAATGAAAAAATTAACACAGCTGGGGGGAAAAAGAAGGCCTGCGTGCAACACTCACATGGGGCAGCTTCTTGACAATGCTGAAGTACGACTACGTATCCTTGCAAAGACAAGCTCAGTTAAAACAAGCATCCACTGAGGACAATAACTGGACGGGTAGTGTCAAATTACTTGCTCGTGGCGATAAGTCCTCGTCCACCAGCAGCCCTTGTGATGACACGAACAAACTGCTGGGATGAAAATACTAACATCGGCACGGATCCCCTGGAAAGCGTAATGTTAACTAAAAGCCACAACGGCAACAGGGCGCTGTCTCTGCAATATCGCCCCTCTCAGAAAGTCTGTGCCCATGCAGCTCAGCCAGGTACCCCGCAACCCAGGGGGGGGCTAGGGGCAGGAGACACCAGAGGCCACACCAAGGAACACTGCAAGCTCCTGCGTCAGTCAGAGTGATCAACCAGGGGAAAATTAAAAATTAAGACCCGTCTGCGCCTGAAACAGGAGCACTGTTCTGTGAAGTACAATGAAACGTCTCTAGGCACTAGAAAGGAAAAATGACTTACAAAAACAAGGTGCACCTTAAGGTACTTGCTGTGAAGCTACAGATCAATCACATGTACTTCCAATGGGGGAAAAAAACACAGCACGGGCCCTGGTCTTTTGTTTACTACAGTTCTGGAATGAGATCTGTTCCAGATCTGCTACCAAGGACAAACCCCTCCTAAGCAGTTATGCAAACATTAAACAGTCCAGGGAAAACAAGAACATATTTAAAGAACCATGGGTACTTGGAGGGGGGGGGAACAAACACTTTCTGGCCAAGTACAAAAAAAAAAAATCTGAAGAACCTCACCACCACCCGTGTCTCAAAATATCAGCACATATTCAAAAAAACAAATTCAAGCACAGCTTCCCAGCTCCACCAAAGAAAAGCATATTCTTTCATGAATGAATGAGTCAGGCATCATAAGGAAGATACTTTTTTTTTGTCCTATGGGGACTTTCTCTTGCAAGACCACGGACTTTCCACAGTCACGAAAGCGATTATAAGGATTTTCAGATCGGAGTTTCTCTCTAAATTCAGTACAGTCCTGCTCCCTGCTTGCCTCTACCCTTCTACGGCACAACCAACTGCGTTACAACGTAGACTGACGCATAGAAGAAGCACCACTCAGGTCTAACGCATTTCAACAAAATCCCCAAAAAGTGAGGAACAAAACACAGGTCAAAGAGTCATGTAAAGTTAACAGTACCAAACAAGGCACTGCCAAAATGAAGAGATCACAGTGCTCATAATCAGATTGCATTAACACAAGCCTGGCAGTGTTGACACACATCTGATCAGCCTGTGGGGGAGACCGCTGTAGGATGCCCTACTGCAGCCCTCCTGCTGATGACACTGCCAAGTGCCCCAACACCTTCACACTGCTTCCTAGCCTGCTACTGATCTTATTACCCAGTGGTCTTACATTATCCTCCTGGAAAACTAACACAGCTGGATTGAGCTGTGGTAATGCAAAACCTGCTGGCTCAAGGTGAGCCTTTTGCTGGACAATTAAAGCTTTTTCAAATATTCATCCAAACAATGACCTTCCGCCACCCTGTTGGCTGTGTCAAATTACTCAACAGCCAGGATATTGCTCCCAAAGCGCTGTCCTCAATCAGGTCTGTGAGGGGCAAGACAGCACTCACCTGAATTAGACAAAACCACGCTCTCTGCTGCCATCGTTTCCCTGCTGTGCACAGGTCACCCCAGAACAGCCCCCGAGACCGCAGACTGCGCTCACCTGCAGACAGCGAGTGACTCACGCCATCCTTCACATCTCTATCTCGCCCATGAATTATTCGCAAAGGATCAGACGGACTGGACTGCCCCTGGTTCTGCACGGTGAACCTCTGCCTTCTGGGGCGCGGTCCGCACCTCCCAGAGCTGGGCTCCAACCACACGATTTCATTCACCAATTCGCTACACGCCACTTTCATGCCAACAGCATCAGGCAATACTGCAGCTCAGAAATACCACATCTGGTCTTCTTGACAATTCAAAATCTACCCATCTTGCACATCTATTTTATCTAGAATACCAACATTTTTTTAAATCATTAGAACTCAGCGCTTTATCATCTGAAGGACCAACAATTCACTCAATCAACAAAGCTGTTCCGTATTTAAAAAAGCCAACCACAGTTTATGCCAGTGAGCTACTGATACAAAACGTCATTGGAAAAGAAAGGACCTGAGTTTTCATTATGCATCAGCATGTTGTGCCTTACATTTTTGCTTTACAGGTAATTTTCTTAACTATCCAGTATTGTCCGAGTTGAGCGCATCGATCACTATACATAAAACTTTAGTAGTTCACAAAACGCAGAACAGCTTTACATAACAGCAATCAATATAATAAATGAACTGCAACAAAACATATGCTCAAGAAAACAGGAGTAGCAGCGGTCCACAAGTCAATAGACACAAAACATGCTAATTACAAACTACTGAAATGTGCTGTGTTGAATCTTGGGAATAGGTGGAGAACAGAGGAGAAAACAGGATACTAATGTTTGCTGGTGGTTCTGATTTTGGAAAACCAGAAATTCTGATTTAGGCATTTGCCAATAGACCATTTGAATAATAAAACCCTTCCTGGCATTTTATCCCATTGAAACAATCCACTGTTTAAGAGAAATAAGAGAAAAGAATTGTGAAAAGTCCATTTGGAAGGTACTGAAATGACTAAGTGTGCAATACACAAACAGGAGCACTTCTTTATGCATGATTTGACAGTTTACGCAACTATCTTCCTTCAAATTAAGAAATATACTGAACAAGAACACTTGTAGTGTGATTAAAAATAATGCTAATCCAGGCAAAATGGCACAATGGTACATCACACCTACAGTGAAACATCTTTGGTGGTGAGAAATGTGTTTCTGCACCATGTCTGGAGAAAGAAAGCACCAACTGGAGAGCTGGTGGCCACAATATTGCAGGAGAAATCTGGGCACCACATGCGGACTTGCTGAAGATCTCACTGTACTGCATCTTCACTGACAACCCCACAAAAACACACATCCCATGTAGTCCAGAGCAAAATGAATACAGCCATCAAAACACTTTACTGTTCTTTGGAATAAAAAAAGGTGAAGTACCCTGATCATCATTTGTATTTAATTTTACTTAGTACAATTTCACAAAAAGGTCCCTGATTCCCCCCCCCTCCACTTTCCTGTTTGCATTGTGTTGCTTTCATAGAACTATAATTAGCGCAGTTAAGTCTGTCAGTCTTTCGGAAATTAGACAATGATGAAAAACAACCTCAGATGTTTTCTAGCACTTCTTAAGAGTATCAGTTTCCTTCATTGTAAAGAGGATGTGGGTCTACACAAAGACTACACACCATTTTGCAAACATGGCCTAAAGACACTTTCTAGTCAAATCCTGAAAATAAGGGTGGAAAAAAAATAATCAGCTCACTGCTCTAAGTGTGAAATTCCTGAAATGAAAAACGCAAAGTACGCTGTTAATTGCTTTTGTAGGTTTTTTCCTTGTCAGCATTATTTACATTTACTTTTGTAAGGAATAAGACACTGGCAGCCCTAATGAAACTAAAACACAAGTGCACAACAACTTAAGTTTAAAAACTTTCAGTCTTTTTTTAAAGCAAATGCTTTTCAAGTTAAAAATTGTTTTGGAATCACTTTAAACCCCTGTAGCACGGCATTGAAGTCCATTCTGTTCTCAAACAAAGTGCGTTTACCACATCACCAATTAATGGAATTTCAAACAATTCCCTATGTCACTTACTGAGCATGACAAGAATTTTAATGCTATTTTTGTCTGTTTCAGAGAAATAAATTAGAAAGACTGTGGGTAAAGTAAATGTTTGTAGGGTCATTCTGATGAACTGGGCATGCATGACTGGCCGTGATACACTCCAGTGACAGTCATAAACATCATGTCACTCATGAGAGTTAAACAGGGACAGATGAGGGGATTTAACCTGTTGAATGTCTCACTTGATGAAAATCAACACAGAAACAAACAGTAAGGAACCAAAATGCCTCAAGAAACAAAAGAACAACGCCTCTGTGCCCCTGGTATACTGGATTAACACCTCAGACCGACCCAGCATAGGAACCTGTCATTTTCTTTGCAACAAGGCAAAATGTACATACCTCCCACATGCAGGTAAGTAAGTGTGGCACAAACATGCTATCTTGTGCACAAAAGGTCTATAACTGGTGAGGTCCATGTGTCATGATTTGGGCATCCACTCACTACAGAACTTTACTTGCAGTAACCCGGCTACCCCACACCACGCTGATTTAGGCTGTCGGTCTCAATCGCTGCCCTTCTGGCGAGTTCATCCTCATGTCACGACACGCTGCCAGCAGGACAACACATGTAGGTACGAGGGCAGGGCGAGGACAGCGTTCTCAAGAGAGATGGGAAGGTGACAGTCATGTGGTGGATCCTCTCCCTGCCAGACCCGAGCACCACCGAACACGAGCGAGATGAGCAGGGGCGACACGTGACACCCGGGGCTCAGACAGCCGCAAGCAGGCACATGCTCATCCAAGCTGTGGAATGGGATCAAATCCCACAAGAGCACATCTGCAACCTGGTGCAAAGCATGTGTCAGACTGCTTCCAACTGTGGGCACAGCCTGGGACTTTCACATTCCACAAACCATGACGACGTTAGGTTTCAGGGTTTTTTTTTTAATTCTATACTTATTCAATAAAATGTCAGTGCGCCTGTTACTAACTCATTTCTCATTTAGTTAGTAAATGAGACATTAACCTTTACTTAATTTTGTGAATTTGTCACACTTATGAAAGTTAGGTCTCTTTTGGTGTTTTAGTATACATCTAAAAAAATCTTTTCTGAGCACTGTGAAACTAACTATACTATATATATATATGTAGATTCACATATGCACCGATATTCACTCAGAATGGCATTAAATTATGATATTGCTTGGCAACGCTGCATAAATGACTGGAAAGATATCTATGTGGTTCTTACAGGCACTGAAAACTCTACCTAGTGATGTCACTAAGAAGAAAATAATCTCTTTAGTCTTGAACAGAATAGATTACAAGGGGCTTCAAGTATTCAAAATCTGCAAAGGCACTGAGAAAGTCAACCGAGTCCACTCCTTCAGAATCAACAATGAGCCACAAACCAGAAAAAACAAGTGGAAACTACTTTTGTAACCCCTCTTATTTTCTAGAATGTGATAAACAGATTTTCTGGGCTGAAAACAAGGGTTATCAAAAACAGCTCAGGAAAAGGCGGTCTATGAGATTTATGGGTGACTAAGAGGAAAATTCAATCCCACTACCTAAATGAACCTGTACAAACCAGACTCACCATCAGCTGTCTTACCATTTTTATTTAGGTGTCATTTTATCAGGAATTCCCTCCGTCAGAGAACTCGCAACATATTGCAATAGAAAATGTGCTCAAGCTTTGATGACACAAATCACCTCCTGAAGACGAAACTGATCTCTACCTTCACACAATGCACTTAGACTCTGCAATCTCATCTGTTCTGAAGGAAACTAAGCAGCCTGCTGCTCCACTGCTGCACAAGAAGCTGTCAGGCTTCTCTGTACAACGTCAAAGGACAACTGTGAGAATCACTGTAGGCGACAACTCTCGGGAGATTCTGAATGAGGCCTTTTGTGAGCTCAAAAAATAACAGGAGACAGTGCACCGTGTGCATGAGACAAGAAGGCCAAAATCCGGCAAAAACAAACCAAAAAGCCCTGCACTTCCCTAGGGTCAGGGCATGCCTTGCCCTGGACCTCAAGCAACAACCTGTTATGTCCAATGAACTGGCATATTACACTGCTGAACAGCCTTATCGCCGCCAGTGTGACACTTCACCACAAACAGTTGAACTATAATAACGCTGCCAGAAACGTCAACATCAACGTCAGAAGGTTCAGTCTTTTAGAAAACCCAGAGCGCTCGTGTATTATGGAACACACCAGGTTGTCGGTTTAAAGTTTAGACACCGAGATCCTTCACTCAGTGCAAGTCAACTCGGAAGTCTTGGTGAGAAATCAGCGAAGCGCTTAACCATTCTGCATTTTAAGAGAAGTGTGGAGGTTTCAGGATGATCACAATGTGCGATACTGAACATTGCTTCTCAACTATCAAGTATTGCAAATATTACCAATACAACATTGTCAAGAACTTTTCCAGGTACGACAGTCAAGCTTATAACTGAGTAAAGTGACCTTCTGAGTCAAGTTGTCAGGCTAACTACAGTGTATCCCTCCAGTCCTGTCACACTGGCCTTTGTAGCAAAGTGTTTCATTTTTTGTTGCTAATTTCATTAGCAGTAAAAGGTCAGCATTAAAAATCCTATGCACTTGTGGAATACAGGAAGCAACAAATGATTACTCACACAGCACTGGCGGACTATTACGAAACTCCTTAAAAACTGCAGATTTCTGCATATATTGTAAAGCAACAACTTTTTAAAATAAAGTACATTGGAAACTGGCCTGTATATTGTTACCAGAACAGCATAAAACCTACTTCCATCACAGCAGTGCAGGGGAATTATCTTCTAATTCATTTTTTCTACTTTCTCCAGTCATGTTTATAAGCTTTGAAAAAAGAAAAAATGCATCACACTTTTAAAGTATGGCAAAAAAGTACTGACTTCAAAAATAAGGACTGAGTTAACTTAATTCTGCCTCACTATGAACTAACTTCTCTCTAAATGCTTCTATTAACTCTTAGATCAAGTTTAAAAAAGCAAAACCATATTCAGTTGTTTAAAAAAAAAAAACAGGAGTATGCTATTCCCGATAAAGGCAAATTTAGGAAATCTGACTCTTGAACCTGGGGTTGCATCTAAAAGGAGGACATTATTTCCATTCCTGAAGGTGCACATTTATTTAACTCCACAGGAAAACGAAAGGAGCAAAAAAAGACTGACTGACAAATCACAGCCCGTCTGAAATGCCACACTCAGCTCCTGCAAACAACCCGGGCTTAAACAATAATGTCGTTTTTGTGGTTGGGTTTGCTGTGTCACCTGACATTTGCAAGCAACATCTGCGCTACAGTTGTTAAAAGAAAAGAGGGGAAAAAAAACGGAAGTCAGCCTGTTTGAAGTATGACAAGACAACACAATTACTAAGTTTAAGAATAACAGTTTTATAATAAAGGACGAAGGCTGATCTGCAATACCTTTTGAAAGCTTCTTGGTACCACTGCGTGACAGAGCAGAAAAAACCTACAAAGTGGTTAATTTTACATAAACTGATGACACATCCTAAACAATCCCAGAGTTGCCTTTGTTTAGCAGCCAGGTTGCAATGCAGACACAGAGGACAAATGTGCCCCGCGCCCCTCCACCACTGGTCAAGTCAGAACGCTTTTAGCCAGGATCCATTTCTCTTCTGCATGTGAAATCGCTATCTACGAAAGGCAGATCACTTTCTCTCCCAAGTTTATGAATTTCAGGCTCATTTCGGAAGCTGACAGGTCCAGATAAATCCTGGCGTGTCTTTATGGGAAGGTTAAAAACCCTCTCACGGTCTTCCTGCCGCACAATGGCTCCCATTAAAAAAAAAAACACACACATATATCGGAACAATAAGTCAAGTTGCAGATCCCAGCGCAAGGAGTCAGGATGCCAGACGCCAGCTAAAACATTTCCGGGGGTCGGAGGGCGAAGCTAACCGCCTCTGTGAACTGGCAGGAGTAAACCTTGTGCCAGTTCGGATTTCTGGCTCGTCCTCACCTGCAGTTTCACATCCCTCGCCCGGGTCCCAGGAGGAGACCCAGGAGGAGCAGCCAACTGTTGACTCTCCCTGCGAGGGCTGGGTTGCGCTCTGCACAGAACAGGTGGGGTTTTCAGATGTTATTGGGCTGGATTATTCCCCACAGAAGGCAGCAGGCGTGAAACCAACACCGGTTTCAGTGCTCAGCCCCTCCGGCTGGGGGGGGAGGGGGGGTTGGATTCTGTACATCTCACCTAAAGTCCCCATTCTTGCCGTAGAAATGACACTCCAGAGCAGAGCCTCTCCACCTGTCCTCCCTTCTCCCCTAACAGTCAAAAAGGTGCGACCTCTCTGTAAACTAGCAGTAACTCCGGATAAGCACTGCACTCTGGCATGGGAATAGGCCCTCCGAGCCATTAAAAAAAAAACACGAATGATGTTATTAAGTGTTCGTTCGTGATTTATGGTCGAGACAAACATGAGGGTTAGGACAGACAAAAGCAGAAAAACACGCACGCATCCAGCAAACAACTGCGGTAATTCAATCGCCCGTCACATGACCCCCGCAGCGGTTTGTAACGTTTGAGCAGACCGGCCCCTCTAGGGTTACACTGGACGGGCTGTGCCGGGGGAATACAAAGTTTAGGCAAATAGGAGAAGAAAAAACACTGAAGTGGTCATCATTCATGACCACCAAGGTCCCTCCTGCGCACATCAATTTGTCTTCACAACACACCGCCGCCTCATCGACATGATGTATATATGCGCTTCACCTGCCTCAATGCTGCAATATTTTGTTGTCATGGAAACCGAAGGGCCCTATGATGCCAACCCAACCCGTCTGGCCTGACGTGTCACCACTGTCAGAAAAAAAAAGTTTGACCCACTTCGCGTGTCCCCCCCCACCCACGCTTCATCACCTTTGAGCAATTATGCGCCGTAAGGAGAAAAGGACTTGAAAATTCACAAGAAGAAGAAAAAAAAAATCGTACGGCTTCTCCGGTGAAAGCGCTGGTCCAAACCGCTACCGCCAGCGCCGGGGTGACTCACGGCTCCTGACAGCTGTAAACAGCGCTGTCACGGCCGGCCTCCCGCTCCCATTAAAATGTCTTCCCCGGCTCCTGCAATTTTCCGAGCCGTCCCGCTTGCGTGTGCGACGACGGACGCCCTTCAGAGTAGATGGGCTCAATGGGACAGGCCATTACCCACCGGCGGGCCAATTGCCGACGACTCGACCGCGGCTCTTCCCTCCAGCCTCATCGCGACGGCAGACGCCACACACATCTCGCCCAGTGATTCATATCGAGTAAACCTGCCCCGGCGTCTATTTTATTGTGACATTTTTTTTTTCCTCCCTTCAGCTGCGGTTCAATATCTTGGCACGTCACCTCCTCCTCCCCCGAACTGAAACTTTTTTTTTCCCTCCTCCCCCTGTGCTGAATCAGGACACCACCGGTATGTGTGTGTGTGTGGGGGAGGATAATCAATATCCAACACCCCTTCCACGCATTTACAACACATACACCCCCACTGGCACCCCCAAACCACTCCATCACTCATACTTCAGACGCACATTTGGTACCGGCTCAATCCCTTACCACTCTCCTGATTGAAAATGCCTCCTAATTAGATCTGATTTTTTTTTTTTTAGGAAAAAAAAAAAGCTCCTTCGCTTTTGGCTCCCGCTGTCACGCGTGATCTTCGCACACGAGAACTGCACGGGCCACAATCACACGCAGGGCATGTGAGGAGGAAAAAGCCACCCCTCGGCGGGGGGCCACCACGAAGCAACGTCCAAGGGGACAGCCGAGAATCTCAACCATGCAGTTCAATGAGCTATCAAGCGGGATCGAGGAAAAACAACAGTTCCCAGAGGCACTTCAACAAAAAAAAAAAACTTTCCTGCCTTGCACTTTCTGACACTTAGATCGCCCCCATCTCGTCGGCTTTGGGCATCTTGGAATACGGAAAACGCCACACACAAAAAAACAAAACAAAACCCTCTTACATAATAAACTAGAAACCGAAACTCAAAAGCCTCCAAACGTCTCTAAAAGCCCGTATCCGTACCCGAGGCGTGACCCCCAAGCCCCCAGAATGAAGCGGTGTAAATGTCTTATCTGGGACAGGACCATGCATTGCCACAGCAGCAAGACGAGTTGCGTAACTCGTCCCACACTGCTCGACTCGGACCACAAACCCAGGTATGCGCACGGAAGAGAGCAAAAAAAAAAAGTTAAAAGACCTGTACGCAGCTACTTCCATAATTGTTTTTTAAAACAACTTCCAACCCCCCGTTGTTGTTGTCGTTGTCGTGCCCTAACGAGCCCAAGTTCACAGCCTCCAGGCCAATATAGGGCATCAGGGGCCGAGGGCACCCTCAACCCGGAGATGCCAGTTATACACCCCCGGGAAGGCTGTAAACAACGAAAAATGACAAGTCTGCTCGGCAACGAACAAGCCTCCCTGCCAATAGAAATGAAACCAAAACTAACGGCTAAAAATCAGAAATAATCTCCCGACGCAGCACCCCGCAAAACAACCCCACCGGGCCGGCGAGCTTCCTCTCCAGTTGATGGGGGGGGTGGATAAGCCCCCCGACGAGACCCAGCGCATTTAATTTCCACAAAACGGCCCGGCCGCGACCAAAACACTTCGCCCAGAAGAGTTTGGACCTTCGTAACTCCTAAATACAGGACCGGCGCACCAGAAAGGTCTCGGATCAAACGCACGGAAACACATTCCTTTTTGGGAGGGGAAAAGAAAATAAAAACCAAGCCAGAGGAGGAAAATAACTGGAGTGTGTATGAGTGTGTGTGTTGGAGGGGAGGGGGGGATTTAAACGCCACAGAGACAGAAGAGATAGGGGAGAGGAAACTTTGCACGACCTGAGTAAACCTGCCTGTTTACTAGACAGCCGTGATCAAATGTTTTGGCCGGCAGCGCTCAAACCTCATCTGCACCGGCGGCCAGCCGAGACCACATCCACGGCCCGGAGGGAGAGCCGACACCGCGCCACGCCGCGCAGCCCCCCGCAAAATGCCGTTTTAATCCGGCCTTAAACTTCGGCAGTATGCAAATGCAACAGAGGGATTGATCAGCGGTGTTTGGATTGCAGTGCTCGACAGGGCCCCCAAGCCTGCGCTCCCCGCTACTGTGCTCTTTTTTTCTCTCCCCTCAGCTAGTTAAAAATGGCTGCTTTTAGTTTTAAATCTCTTACCAGACAGAATAGGTTGGAATGGCAGTCTTCCAGGCTCGCTCCGTTTGGTACAAAGCAAGAACTCATCCTTTCACATCGAGATCGACCACTCCATCGTTTCAAGTTCCCAAGAAAGAAAGAACAATTTTTCTTCTTTTTTTTTTTGTTGGGGTTTTTTTTTTTTGTACGCGCGTGGATTTTTTTTTTTATTTAAAAAAAAAAACCCCCCGTTAAAAAACACCTCACGCCGAGGATGGTTTTAAACAATCGGCCGGGGGAATGTAATTCAACAGCTCATTTAGATTCTCTCCTCCGTCAGCACTCTCTCTCTCTCCCCCCTTCCCAAAAATAATCCGCCGTAAATTAAAAACAGCACCGCCACCTCCGCATCGTCCGCCTGATATAAAAAAAAAAAAAGAGACGCTCCTTGAGTGAGGCTCGGTCGTTTTCTTTTTTAAAAAAAACGGGGAAAAAAAAAGCACGAAAACGCTCTTAAAACAAAAAAAAATCGCAACTCTCCCCCTCCCCCTTTGGTTAAAACGGTCTGGGTTAAAAAAAAAATCGCCCCTCTATTCCTCCATCGTCGCCGGATTCGGTTTAAAAATGAAAAACATCTTGTAAAAGACGATCGAAGGCTGGTGGAGGACTATATTTTTTCGGTCGTTTTAACCATTATTTCGGTCTCTGTTCCTGCTGGTTTCCATTTGAATTCACGGATTCCTTTCTTTAATGGCGGCCACAGGGACAACTCTGCCTCCCGGCGCCGATTGGCTGGCTCGTGGTCATGCGGGCTGGAAGAGGACTGGAAGTGACGGGCCCGGCCGCTAGGCGCTGCTGAGCCACCGGTCTGGACCCCCTCAGCTCGCCGTCCCGGGCGCTGCGCCCCCTAGCGCGCCGACGGCGCACTGCCGCAGTTATTTATATACCTGGGTACCCCGTGTGCGTGTGCGTGCGTGTGTGTGTTATTGTTGTTTTTGGTAGTAAAATAAAAATCGGTTCATTCGCAGCTGCTAGGGGGGGGGGGGCTCTGACAGGCGTCAGGGGTGAGACGCCAATAATGATAATAATAATAATAAGAAGAAGAATGCTGAAAAGAGAAAAAAGAAACACAACGTTTCGGCTGTGCAGTCTTCTTCGGGAGCCTTCTTTTCTTCTCTTTTCAGCATGGAGTAAACCTTTACTTGTTCCTTTGCAACCTATGCATGCTGACGCAACCATCTACTTGAAGTAATAATAATCATAATCATAATAATAATTATTATTATTTTGATTGTTGATGTTGTTGTTATAATGCATTTGGTTGCTTTTGTTTATTTCAGTTGTGGTGATGAAATACTAGGCTCTTCCTAACATCAAATGGACTGCAATAAACTACTTTTTTTACACCCCCGCTTCCCGGGGAAAAACCGAAGCATGGCTCTACCTCAGGTTACTGTGTTTCATTATGTGTCTGGTACCAGAACCTGTATACAAGAAATCTGGTTTCCAGTTCGCCCTGGGGTCCCAGAGACCTGTCGGGGCCAAACATTATTGACTAACCAAACGCACACAACTCTCTCCAGGATTCAGAATGTTTCTGAGATGTTGCTTCTTGCCTCGAGAGCAGTGTTTAAATCATCTGCTGTAAATGACTGTAAAAAAAAAACCTGTGAACATGCCCACGGGAGAAAATAAATGCAAAGAACTTGAAACAGAATGAAATCCAGTAGACCCTGGCTTCGAAGACTGCTGCTTGACACCCCAATTCATTATTTATTGGTGCTGATGTTGACGGTGTAGCTGTAGTGCTGCCATTCTTATTCCGAACAATAACCTTACAAGACGCCGCCGAGATAAGCTGATTGTCTCCTGTCTGTGCTGCTGGAAGTCCAGGTCAGCGAGGTCTGCAGGTAATTCAGCTTCGGCTGATCAATAGAGAAGCAGGGAATTTCGCAAAGTAGCTGGTGTTCACCCTGTTTAACCACAAGCCAGGCCTGAGAACCGGTTTGGTGTCTGTATCCTGGCTGTGAAACAATACTCTGAGCAGCCCCACCAGGCTCGCGAGCTGATGGTGCTGTTCTTAACGCTCGTAGTCTGGCTGCCATCTTTTTTTTTTTGTTCCACGTGTATTTCCCATTATCTGTGATTAAGTAAGTTATCATGCAATGCCATGCTTGATAGGTTACCGGGGTTATAGAATGTAATTCATTAACGAGAAGTGCAGCAGGCAGCCAGACCATTTCTGCGGGTCAAGTTGAAAAACACAAGAAACGTCAAAATAAATGTTCGGCTTGGCTAGTTTTCACAGCACCACCCGAACGAAGAAGAATGTACGTGACCTTGTATCGGCTCACAAAGGAAATACTGCAAAATATTGTACAAAAAGATGCAGTATATATTTTATTCTTAAATGAGCGGAGAGCAACACTGTCTTGGAATCGGCAGTCGTTTTGTGTATTAGTTTTCTTTATGACAGCTCGCACCTAGCTTGACACTATGTACAAGGCCGAGCTACTAGGTACATCTGTGTTTGTGTATGTTCCATGTTGCTTTGTCATTGTAGTGTATTATTGTTTGAATTAATCTATAAAACCTTAGTAAAATATAGTAAAATCACACCTATACTCATTGTATGCAAGGTAATACGCTTATGACCCTATGTTCCAGAAAGCAGTGATTTCTGCTGAGGCTACATTACTAGGTTTTTCAAGCGGTTTAGTGCTCAGCAGAGTGGAAGAGTTGAGTATTGACTACTGTTGTGATTTCAGTGTTGAATTGTTTTTGCGTATAATAGTCCTGTTGCGAATCACTTTGTAGAGTTAATACTGAGGCCATCACATACATCAGGTCATTGACGACACAGAGCACAGAACGAGGCTCTTCTTCAGCCTGTTCATTGTTATTCCTTGCAACAGGTCAAGGTCATCAACATTACTGTATATAGACAGCTCCACACCATATAGGAACAGGTCAAGGTTAATTCCATAATTCTGAACAGTAGAAAAGATGAAATACACAACATTTCAAGTGTGGAGCTTTCACACACCTCTAAAGGGCTTCACAGTTAGAACAGTGTGTTTTTCGCTCTTTTTATTTCTCCTTAATTTAACTTCCATTGGAGCCACACACCAGCACCTCTCCCTGATCTAACTTTGTCTATATGCAGCACATATTTGTTCCCAATGAAAAGTGTTGTATATACAGCGTGTTTTCTGAAATTTCCATTTGAGTTATCACATTCATATATCAACTTCACCGGATTGCTCAGATATTTAGTTTTTATGTTCTTATTAGAGATCACATCAGGAAGTTACATGGACGTCCGTTTAAATATGAGCACAGGAGGCTCTTCTCTTTACACTAAGGGGTGTGGGAGTACGGAACAAGCTACTCAATTAAGTTGCTGAAGCAGGAATACTGGCTTCTTTTAAGAAATACCTGGATGAGATCCCCGGTAAAATTAGCTATAACTACCACATAGCATTGATGGGCCAAATAGCCTCCTCTCGTTTGTAACTTTTGTAATGTAGAGGACAGCTGGTTATGCACATGCAGGAAATAGCATGTCATCCCATGTTTAACATCATCAATAATCTTGATTAGAAACTGATTCTTCTAAGTGAATTTTAAAAGTTAGCAGGATAAATGTGTTTTTGTCTATGAACTGGCTGCATCACTCTGCTCTCCTCCCCACTGATAGCTGGTGTGTGGGGAGCTTTCTGGCGCACTATGGCTGCTGTTGCATCATCCAGGTGGGGGCTGCACACTGGTGGTGGTGGAGGGGATCCCCATTACCTGTAAAGCACTTTGAGTGGAGTGTCCAGAAAAGCGCTATAAAAGTGTAAAGAATTTTGTAGAACCCTTTTAGGCGTTCTCTAAATGTGTTCCCCTCATAAAATAGATCTGTATTGTGCAACACCACAGAGAAGATGTAAAAATGAGATGAGAGATTTTTTTTTTACGACTAGATAAACTGCATTAAAAAGGACATGGCTTTGCTATTGTCCTCCTCTTGCAAAATCTACAACTTGTTAATTTCAATAACAAAGATCATGGCTGATGTCAGTTTGTGATATTTCTGAGGTGTGCTTCCCAACATCTGCAGTTACGAATTCTGATGAATCAACACTCAAACTGTCACAATACTCGAAAGATCTCTCATTGCAGTTTTCACCTCGATCACCACATTTCACTTCTCTGATATTACAGGACTATAGAAAATGTCTAAAAAAAATCATAAACCAGCTTCGATGTTTCAAACAAATGTTCTGAGTGGTTTGCAAAATAAAAGTGACAGAGATGTTTAACTTCAGAGCTCAGGCTTCTTTCAGGAAAAAGACAACACGGAACTATTTGGATTGTAACGTATGTACAGTATGTATACATTTCGAATCCTGTACGTACATAAGCAGCGTGGATCGTGCAAGCAGCAGGATGGTTCTGTTATCACTACATGTGCTCATAGATTAGAAACACCTACAAAAGAGAAAGCAAGAGAGCAAAAGAAGGACAGATGGTGAGAGGAACAGAGGTAGAGAACATAAAAAAGCATTGCACATTTTAAAGTGCCAGACAAGGCTTCTCAAAAACAAATGGAAGAGGTATGCAGTAGGCACCATGAACTAACAGCTGAGGGTCCCTTTAGGAACATTTCCTATTCTATTCAAGCCCGCACCTTATCTTATTCTTGTAATTTAATACTTGATCTAAACAAGTCAGTCAGCTGAGATTAAATTTTCATGTACAATGAGGACCTGGAGACCCACTTATACTGCAGGGCATGTACTGGTGCAATCGGACTAAAGTACATTGCTCAAGAGTACAGCAGCTATGTTTCCTCCAGGATTTGAACCCGCGCACCTGTAGCCTAGCACGCAGGGCCTTATCCACTACTCCATGCTGCTGTCTGACAGATGATGCCACTTGGCAACCAACCCTCAAACACAGTGGAGACACAATAAATTCAGTTTCTGAAAATCCTGATGACTGAGTGTGTTCAATGTACTGGTGGCTTTGCATTTGACAGGCAGCTGGATTTGTAGTGTTTTCCGCTTACACAACTCGTGAGTACTGCTTACACAACTCGTGAGGGGTTTATCAGATATTTACTGTTGTAATCATGCCAGGTGTGAAACAAAGATTTTCTCAACCATGGTGCTTCCACATGGGTCAACCAGTACACACCTGCAGGGGCTGCAGGTGTAATCTTATATTCCAGATGTTGCCAGATCGGGTTAGCCTGCTGTGATCAGGATTTCTCAAGCAGTAGGCTCGATGTACCCAAACATATACTTGCTTTCACGTGAAGCAGAGACTCCCCAGGATTTGTGCACATTTGAGAAAGAGCTGTGAGAGCACCATCAACTCCTCCTATTAATACTTACAATATGAACAAGACATGGGTGGCTCTGACAGTGCTAGTTTCAGAGGACTGTTCACACTAGGGTCATCAAACCTTTTGACACGCATGATAGATGTAAACCAGCTGACTAATGATTGATCAGTTATTGGCAATTCCAAGAAACGAAGTATCTAGCAATTCCTATTTTTTACAACAATGTCAGTAAAAGGGATTATTTGTTTAAAAAAGTAACTTTTTGCTCACCAGTCCAAGAGAGGAAAAAGGTCAACATTAAACTTAAGATCCAACAGCACAAATCTGCTACATTAAACTTAAGATCAGCGCACAGCATGGTGTGTGCCAAATCCTTGCAAAAGTGGCTTCTGAAACCCAGCAGATAACCTTCAGTGGAGCTAGGACGGACACTGCTGTCACAGAGGGGCCACGTGATGGTTTCAAAGGCTCTTCCGTGGATCAATAAAATTGACCACTGTGGAAAGTGTTTTCTGTGTGCAGGTTAAAACTGCTTGTGGGAAGGCAAGAAGGACTGGAAGGGTCCGCAGTTCAAAACAAAGCTCTTGTTTACAGAATGC